AGGAGCTGCACCAGCCATGGTCACCCTGGATGATAGGAACATGAGTTCCAGCCTCCTGGTGGTCATGAGTATCTGCTATCCAACATATCACCATATGGACTGACCAGAAGGGACTGCAGATGCTCTCAGTTTTGCCAATGACAGAGGCTCTCCTGCTCTGCTTGGTGACAATCTATAGAGCCTTATAGCCGCTGAGTAACTCGTAAGACTGGTGTGCTGCTGACTGACTGCATGCATGGATTCTAGGAGGCAGTCACACAAACAGGATCCGTATGCCAGCCTGCTTTGGCTGGCACTGACTTCACAGGGCAGGAGGGAGGGTCAGCACTGTGCGCTTTGGGGCCAGAGGTCCTGGCTCTGGCAACCACTAGCTGTGTGACCTTGGACAAGTCAGGTCAGATGCCTGTAGCCTGCATATCCCTGGAGATAACAACAGTTGCTTGAGGGATTAAATAACACATGCTCACATGGTGCTTGGCAAATGAAAATAATGTGCAGATGTTAGCTACAACACCATTATTAAAAATAAGCCCCTGACTCATGTCCTGCCTAATTCTTAGTGGAGCCAAGGGACTGTTAACACTCCTTTCTCCCAAGTCCTCCCGGAGTTCTTCTCCTGACAGCAACCATGCTCTTCTCTTTCAAGGTGCTTCCAGAAGAGCATTTTATGGCCATATTAGGAATACTAATCTTCACCTTCAAAATAAGTTGAGGTAGTACCTTTTCAGCATCAACCTTGAGAGGGATGTCATGGAAGGGGGAAATGTAGTGACCAGCAGCATTCTCTGCAAAGGACAGAACAAGAAATGCAATTAAGGCCGTGGATATAGTATTCCTTATAATGCCTTCATCCCTTTTAAGCATACCCATTTTTTCAAGGCTAACTTTTTGGTTTTGTTTTTAATACAGGGTCTTCCTACGCAATTCAGACTTGCAGTGATCCTCCTGTCTCAGGCTCCCCAGCGCTGGAATTATAGGCGTGCACACCACACCCGGTTTCAGGGTATGCATGCGGTATTGGGGATTGAACTCGAGACCTTGCACTTGCCAGGCAGGTGCTTAGGCTGCCTATCTCCCCAGCCCCTGATGACTAACTTTTAATGCCCAGCTTAAAGTTTAACTCAACTTTTAAACTTGTTCTATCTGAGGACCAGAGAGAAAATATACACCAACTAAAGCACTGGGTTGATAAAATCATGTAATCCTGTGGCTCAAAACACTGAAAGCAGAAAATGTTTAAGCCTGGAAAAATCTAATTTTTTAAGAAAGACTCATTACTAAGTGAACTGAACCGACACTAATGTTAATTCTGCTAGGAGATACTGAAAAACTGAATTCCCAGTTTCCTCCCATAACCCATGGACAGGAAGGTCAACTGGTCCCACTCCATTGAAAGAAATGATCATTTGCCTCTGCACAAAGCAGTAAGCATGCCGATATAATGGACAGCTCACAACAGAAACACAGCTCAGCAACAGGCACTACTTTATCTTAGATATAGTAGTGAAATATGAAATATGTATTTAAAATAATTTTAAGAGCATACAGTATTGAAATAGATGCAATGACTCAATATGCACTTTGCCTGGCCTTCGTCTGTATCTAAATCCTGGGCCTAACATGGCCATACACATGGGTATGTTTTCCTTCTGTCCTGCTCATTTTTACACCTAGGCTTTAAAAATCTTCTAACAAAATAAAACAGGGACTGGCTGATGTTGCATCTGTAATGTGCACACCTGGTACCAAGATCCTGATTTCTAAATTCCCCAGTGTTATGGTTTGTGTCTAGGTGTCCCCCCAAAGCCTCATGCAGGCTTGGGGCAGCCTCTGGGGTTTATGATTGATTACTGTGGGTGTGGATGTTGCACCTGCCCTGGGGCAGGTAATTTGTATTACAACGTAAGGGGGGAAGAGAAGCTAGGGGCTTGAGCTGCTGCTACCTCTCCCTTTTGCTTTTGTTCTTGCTCTTTGCTACTGTCATGAAAGGTTGCCCTCTGCTGTGTGCTGCTCTGTCAGGACCCAGCTGAATACAGACAGAAACCTCCAGTAACTGTGAGCTAAATAAACCTTTCCTTCCTTTATTTTGGGTGTTGGGTATTTGTCCCAGCAACAAGAAAAGAGTAACTAAGACACCCAGAATCTACCATTCTTCAGTAAAGGAAGCTGAGGCACTTGGCGGAAGGGGCTGATGCTCTGCCAGGGCAGAGAATATATAAAGTGAGCCCCAGCCATCTCTTGGGGTGAGAGATCAGCTCAGTAGTACAGCTTTCCCTGCAAGGCGAGGCCCTGGGTTCATGCCCAGTGTGGAAAAACATGTCCTGAAAACCAAGCACAGCGGCCGGGGCCTCATAGTCCCAGCTGTTCAGGATGCTGAAGCAGGATTGCCTGAGGTCAGGAGTTCAAGGCCAGCAGGACAACAGAGCAAAATTTTGTTTTATAATAAACAAAAATACAGAAAGTCAACCAGGTATTCAAAAACACAGACTATAGTGTTAAAGGGAAAGGTGAACCCCAAATGCCCTAGACAAAACAATATAGTATTTGTTGTGGTGTTGCAACAAAAAATGGAGTACTGAATTAAATATAAGTATAAAGCAAATACTAATAAGAACCCACCCTAGTACAAATAAATGACTGAGTAAATGGATGGGTGGAGAGAAACACTTCCAAACTAAGAAACAAAAAGCCTGGAGGTGACTGAAGAACCAGGACAAGGGAACTTGGTGTCCTGCACTGGACCCTGGGCTACAAACTGTGTTAGTGGAGAAACAAGCAACATCTCAGGAAAGCCCAAGTGCAGCTAAGGACACACCCACTCCCCCGCACTGGTTTCTCATCCTACCAATGCACGGTGGTAACAGAAGATGGTAGCAGGAGGGCCCCTAGCCAAGGGGTCACCTCATTTCCATAGCATTTGCAACTTTTCCAAATCTAAAATTATTTTTAAAAAAATGTTTAGTAAACAGAAAGAATTGTAATTTTTTTTAAAAGTCCTAGTTTCAAGCCCACAAAAAACTGGAGTGTGTAACCTAGCCATGGCTCCTACTGCACTGAAAGGTCCCACCCTCTGGGCACCGTGTAGACTTAGCATTTAGCACTGCATGAAGCTCTCAAGGAAGAGCCTGAGTCATCATTCAGGGCACCACACTTGCTCCTGGAAAAGCAGCCAGTGCTTTACAGACATGTGACAGACCGTGGTTACTACTAAATGTTACTCCCCGCCACTACTTCATTCTTTTCCTTTTCCCACCCAAAGGACACAGGGCACAGCATGACAACAAACTTAAGAAGCTGCAGAAGACGAAGATTTAATGCTCTTGCTCTGACCCACACTGCCTCCTCATCTGTTAAAAGGTCATGCCAAACACACAGACAAAACCTTCCCATGTCCATTCTGCATCCAGTTGCAAGTTATCTACTTGATTTTCAAAAAATAAATAAATAAATAAATAAATAGCGGGGCATGGTGGTCCATGCCTATAATCCCAGCACTGAGGAAGCTGAGGCAGGAGGATCGCCATAAATTTGAAGCCAACCTGAACTGCACAGTGAAATCCTGTCTCAAAAAGATAAGAGAGAGACAGAGAGATGGGAGGGGGAAGAAAGAGAGAGAGAGAGAGAGAGAGAGAGAGAGAGAGAGAGAGAGAGAGAGAGAAAGAAAGATAAAGAACGAAAGAAAGAAAAGAAAAGAAAAGAAAAGAAAAGAAAAGAAAAGAAAAGAAAAGAGAAAAAGAAAAAGAGAGGGAGAGAGAAAAGCCTCATTTGCTTGCAGGATCACTATAAATGAGTGAATGGTCAGTACTTGCTGATTTAGGTAACTGTACATACTAAGGAACTATATGGATTATGAAACGCAATCATGAAGGAGCAAAGAATAATGAAGAAACAAAGAATAAAAACACTTATTTCTGGAAAACGATAAAATACATATTATTTTTTTCCTTTGGCAGAACCAGGGATTGAACTCAAGCCTTTGTGCTTGCCAGGGGGAGTGCGTATTCCACTAAGCCATCTCCCCAGCCCACTGAGCCTCAAAAATAGTACTTCAGTACTATTTTTAGTACTGAAATACTGAAATAGTTTTCTTCAGTAATATACATATAAAGGCACCCAGGAGCAATGAATACGGGAACCTCTGAGAAACTGAGTTAGATAAATTCACTGACTTTTTTTTTTTTTTAATTTTAGGGAAGAGTCTATAGGGTGCTCAGGGTCTCACTACTAGATCAGACTCATAGTCATCTGCCTGTTTACAGCCTCCCAAGAGCTGGGATTACAGACGCAGTCCACCATGCCCAGTCTCAATTGCTGGCTCAGCATGTCCCAATGGCAGGGCCAGCACTGCCAGTATGGCCAGCACGGCCAGCACAGCAGGCCTGCGGATCAAACCCCTGACCCCTGCACCTGCTTGCTGGAGTTTTAATCCACTGAGCTATTTGGTTGGCCCTAAACTCACTGACTCTCTGGAGATTGATTTTTCACAATGGCTTCTTCCATTAATCAACATCTATTTACAAAGCATTTTGTCCATAAAACCCAAAGTACTAGCCTCTGGGGTACGGAAGTGCTGGGGAATGATTTGTGTCTACAGCTAAGACAAAGCAAGCACTACCTCACCCTACTGCTTGTCATGCTGGTCCCCTAGGAAGGGGACCAGTTCCACACAGGTGCCCTTGTGCACACTCATGATCATCCCCTGTGGCACAGACAAATCAAGAGCCTGCGCCTGAAGATCCCGCAGTGGCACAGATAAATCCCCAGGTTCCGAGCTTTTACTACCCTGTTCTGTGACCTTACATGGTGTTAGGAGTGTTGAGGGTAGCAATCCTGACCCTCTCTACAGAGAAGCAGACAGGACCCATGGAGGCAGCCACAGGCACAGACACAGTGTGGCAACCACGGCTACTTCCTCGCAGCTCAAGAGGAAATGAGTGACTATTACTACCTAAAGCTCCCCCTTGTTTTCTCACAGATGAAAATGAACTATTGTTGACATCCATTTACCTTCTAAAATGTACATTTTCTTCTTGTGATAACAAAACAAGGCACCTCTGGAGTTAACAACACAGAAGTTCCAGCCTTCTCCAACTCAATCCTGGCACAACCAACTCCTTCTCTTTAACTTATTGGAGCGTGTCCTGGTTCTCCTCAGTACTCTACATAATGTACTACTTTATGCACTACTCAAGAAATTATTTATGGATTCCAATTCTCACAGATCAGAAGTCAGTTCATTTCCCCCTAGGATACACCCCTTAAGTTCTCGATTGGCTAATGTGTACGCTGCAACTCCCCGTGCTACCTCCACGCAGTGTCTCCTGCCTCCACCAGGCTGCCTCTCTCTTTCTTTTCCCTAAATTTTCTCTTCTGTACTTTATTGTTTTCACTTCTGGGCTGACAAGACATTCTGCACCACTGAGCATTCCAAGCTCCTCCCACAGGCACATCTCCAAGATCCCTATCACTCCTCTGATAATTCTCTCTCCATTTTATCTGCCCTTTCCTTCTGAAACCGGTATTAGTCATGAACGCCCTAGAAGCTCCGTATCTCTGCATGTTACCTCCTTTACCTGTTTCTGGAAGATTTATTCACTTTTGATTTTAATTTACCTGCACTAGTTTTTTAGGGTTACTATAACAATTGCCACAAATATTGTGGTTTAAAATAACAGAATATGCATCAGCCCACTATAGTTTTTACTGAGATCTTTTTAACAATCACATTTTAATTCCCGAGAAATTTCATTGCTATTTCTTCATAACTTTCTCTTTTTCCTGGGTA